AGAACGATAATTGGGGGGGGGGCACATATTCATATATTCGTGTTCTGCTTTATTAATTTCTTTTGAAATCAATTGTTTTTATGGTATGTGAACACGAATATATGAATATGTGCCCCCCCCCCCCAATTATCATTCTGGCTACGGCACTGCAACAAGCTATTGGCAGTATATTGCCCAATTTATAGGGGATCCGAGATATCTACGATTTAACGTCCTTATCCGAGAAGACGCGAAAGTCTAACCATTTACAGATTTACTGATGTCAATGTAAAGGTTGCTCTTTCTTGCTCGTCACTGAAACGGAAATTTTACATTGTTTTTTTCCAATTTGACAAGCCTCGACAAGTTTCGTCGCGTATAATTTGAAAGAATTAAATTGATTTGGAAACTCTCAAACTCCGTCGAGTAAAACTCAGAAGCATATTAAATTGAACGCGTTAAATTCGACGTCTAAAACAGGTCTTAGAAATATAATAGCATCTCTCCTGAGAAATATGTTGTTGTTTCGAGCGGAATTTTAAGCTCGAACACCCAAGTTTCTGGAACGAGATTACAAAAAAAGGTGATAAGACTGAGGTCACGCGACCTTGCTTAGCTGTTCTTAATGCTCTCCCAACACTATCATGTGTTCTATTGAAGTTAAAACATAGTTGGAACACTCACCAAACTCCTTCACATTTATTTTGTTAATCTAGAGCTTGAAATGTACACCCGTAACAAAGCGTGACAAAACTATACTTCTTCCCACAATTTCAGTATAGCAGGAAATATTTTAATGACTGCTTGACGTTTATCTTTGAGGATCTGTAAGGCCGCGCGTACGTATACACACTCGAAACGTTAATGATGCACACGCACCTATTTTTAGGACTCGTTGAAGCCCGTTTAAGCATTGTCCAACACCATTAGGGTACGAGGGGGGGGTCTAGCCCTCCAGTCAGTGTAAAATTGGGCAGCTTCCACGTATACCTTAGGCTAAGTTTCCTGACAGTGGTGCCTAAATTACTTTGAATTTGTACTCGAGTAAAAGTAGAAGTAATTAACAATAAAACGACTTGAGTAAGAGTAAAAAGTACTGGAAGGAAAACGTACTTACGTACAAAGTATCCTTAAAAAATACTTGAAGTACAAAGTAAAAGTAAAAGTACTATTGTCTGTAGCCTGTAGAGGGGGAGGGGAACTTCTCCAATGGATTAACATACAAAAGACACAAAACAACACTCGCATTATATGCGTGCACCGAATATACAATATACTGATAGCTCCATCAATATTGATAGCTCCAGGATAACTCCATCAATAGTATATTGTTCTTCCTATAGAGGTCACCTAGTAAGGATAATCTTTTATTGATCCAGTGTTACTACAGGTGGAAACCTAAACTAAATATACTGGATAGCTCTATCAGTTCTAAACTGTTCTTATCTTCCTAGAGGTCCAGTAAGGATCATCTCTTATTGATCCAGTGTTATACTACAGGTGGAAACCTAAACTAAATTAACTTTATTTATACTGGATAGCTCTATCAGTTTTAAACTGTTCTTCCTAAAGGTCCAGTAAGGATTATCTCTTATTGATCCAGTGTTACTACAAGAGGAAACCTAAACTAACTTTATTTATACTGGATAGCTCTATCAGTTCCAAACTGTTCTCCCTAGAGTGTCCGTCATGTTGAGATATCGGAGCAAGTCGTCAATCTGGGCGCTGAGGATGATGGGAACGATGACGTAGATGCTAGTCACGTGATCGTGTCAGATGACGAGGATGTAGTGGAATGTGATATCGAGATGAAGATGATCACCCCCAGAACAGGTTGGTAGATAAACCTTCTATCCCGCAACGCTTTAGCATTCAGTGTTCACACAGGGCGTCCAAATGTCGCGTTCTGCGCGGGGTAGGCCTGTTTTTATATACGTCGAATTTCGGCGTCGAATGCAATTCAAACAATAGAAAATGAGGCTTAATTAAAATGCCTATGACACGAAATTACACCCCAAAGGTTTATGGTTGCATTGTAAAGACCACTTAAAATGACTTAAATTTCTTTTATAGAATTTTGGTAATTTGCTCCCTTTTCAGTTTTCAAGATATTCAATTTTGTTTCATATGCAAATCATCACCGGTGTGAGATCACATCGCATAATGAGTTTTCAGAAAAGTATACTGAGTTTTCTTGACGAATACGTACCTAAAAAACTTTAAAATTGCCCTTGTATATGTATTAATTTCATAACTGGTAAATTACCCCTCTGTATTTGTTTGTAAAAATATTTTATCAAGGTAAAATATTGCGTTTTCAAAATGTCATTATGTGATTTCACACCGGTGATATTTGCATGCGAAACAAAGTTGAATATCTTCCAAAGGGAGCAAGTTACCAAAATTCTATAAAAGAAATTATTAAGTCATTTTAAGTGATCTTTACAATGCCAATCATAAACATTTGGGGTGAAATTTCGTGTTATAGGCACTTTAATCAGGTTTATCATCTTACTATCTATTGTCTTAATTGCGGCATTCGACGCAACCAAGATTCGACGTATAAAAAAGAGTTGCTCAGAGAACAATTAGTTTCCACAAGGTTGATTCGCTTTAAATTAGAAAATATATTCCCTAAGGTGACCTTCTAAGTCGATCTATGACGAAAAATTTTTTTCGATCAGCCAAAAATTTATTTGACTCCGAAATCCGGGCAACGGGCAAGCGTAGTGTAATTTATATTGAAGGACGGGCAAGCGTAGTACAATTTATATTGACTATAGGACGGGCAAGGATTCATTTGCATACGAGTTCAGTGCTATGATAACCATGTGAAAATGCGCCGTTTAAAATTCCCCTGAGCTAAACCTATCTCCGTTAATATGCGTTTTGAACCTTTCTAAGTCGATCTATGACGAAAAAATTTTTTCGATCAGCCAAAAATTTATTTGACTCCGAAATCCGGGCAACGGGCAAGCGTAGTGTAATTTATATTGAAGGACGGGCAAGCGTAGTACAATTTATATTGACTATAGGACGGGCAAGGATTCATTTGCATACGAGTTCAGTGCTATGATAACCATGTGAAAATGCGCCGTTTAAAATTCCCCTGAGCTAAACCTATCTCCGTTAATATGCGTTTTGAACCTTTCTAAGTCGATCTATGACGAAAAAATTTTTTCGATCAGCCAAAAATTTATTTGACTCCGAAATCCGGGCAACGGGCAAGCGTAGTGTAATTTATATTGAAGGACGGGCAAGCGTAGTACAATTTATATTGACTATAGGACGGGCAAGGATTCATTTGCATACGAGTTCAGTGCTATGATAACCATGTGAAAATGCGCCGTTTAAAATTCCCCTGAGCTAAACCTATCTCCGTTAATATGCGTTTTGAACCTTTCTAAGTCGATCTATGACGAAAAAATTTTTTCGATCAGCCAAAAATTTATTTGACTCCGAAATCCGGGCAACGGGCAAGCGTAGTGTAATTTATATTGAAGGACGGGCAAGCGTAGTACAATTTATATTGGCAAGGACGGGCAAGGATTCATTTGCATACGAGTTCAGTGCTATGATAGCCATGTGAAAATGTGCTTTAAAATTCCCCTGAGCCAAGCCTATCTCCGTTAATATGCGTTTTGAACCTTTCTAAGTCAATCTATGACGAAAAAATTTTTTCGATCAGCCAAAAATTTTCTAAGTGTCAAGCCTAGCTTTACTTGACTCCGAAATCCGGGCAACGGGCAAGCGTAGTACAATTTATATTGAGTAGGACGGGCAAGGTGATCATTTGCATACGGCTTCAGTGCTATGATAGCCATGTGAAAATGTGCTTTAAAATTCCCCTGAGCCAAGCCTATCTCCGTTAATATGCGTTTTGAACCTTTCTAAGTCGATCTATGACGAAAAAATTTTTTCGATCACCCAAAAATTTTCTAAGTGTCAAGCCTAGCTTTACTTGACTCCGAAATCCGGGCAACGGGCAAGCGTAGTGTAATTTATATTGAAGGACGGGCAAGCGTAGTACAATTTATATTGACTAGGACGGGCAAGGATTCATTTGCATACCGTTCAGTGGCAATCAGTGCTATGATAGCCATGTGAAAATGCGCTTTAAAATTCCCCTGAGCCAAACCTATCTCCGTTAATATGCGTTTTGAACCTTTCTAAGTCGATCTATGACGAAAAATTTTTTTCGATCAGCCAAAAATTTATTTGACTCCGAAATCCGGGCAACGGGCAACCGTAGTGTAATTTATATTGAAGGACGGGCAAGCGTAGTACAATTTATATTGACTAGGACGGGCAAGGATTCATTTGCATACGGCTTCAGTGCTATGATAGCCATGTGAAAATGTGCTTTAAAATTCCCCTGAGCCAAGACTATTTCCGTTAACATGCGTTTTGAACCTTTCTAAGTCGATCTATGACGAAAAAATTTTTTGATCAGCCAAAAATTTTGTAAGTGTCATGCCTAGCTTTACTTGACTCCGAAATCCGGGCAACGGGCAAGCGTAGTGTAATTTATATTGAAGGACGGGCAAGCGTAGTACAATTTATATTGACTAGGAGTCTAGGACGGGCAAGGATTCATTTGCATACCGTTCAGTGCTATGATAGCCATGTGAAAATGCGCTTTAAAATTCCCCTGAGCCAAACCTATCTCCGTTAATATGCGTTTTGAACCTTTCTAAGTCGATCTATGACGAAATCTTTTTTCGATCAGCCAAAAATTTATTTGACTCCGAAATCCGGGCAACGGGCAAGCGTAGTGTAATTTATATGAGGGCCCCCTATACTTTTTGCGTGAAGCGTGAAGGGCTTATTTACTTAGCCGTGAAACGTGATCGGGCCCCCTATACTTTTTGCGTGAAGCGTGAAGGGCTTATTTTACTTAGCCGTGAAACGTGATCCATGATTTTCTTAATCCGTGACTCGTGAAAAGGCAAAATATTTTTACGTGAAAGCATATTGTGAAGAGGTATAGGGGGCCCACTTATATTGAAGGACGGGCAAGCGTAGTACAATTTATATTGGCAAGGACGGGCAAGATTCATTTGCATACGAGTTCAGTGCTATGATAGCCATGTGAAAATGTGCTTTAAAATTCCCCTGAGCCAAACCTACCTCCGTTAATATGCGTTTTGAACCTTTCTAAGTCGATCTATGACGAAAAATTTTTTTCGATCAGCCAAAAATTTTCTAAGTGTCAAGCCTAGCTTTACTTGACTCCAAAATCCGGGCAACGGGCAAGCGTAGTACAATTTATATTGACTAGGACGGGCAAGGATTCATTTGCAGTACGGCTTCAGTGCTATGATAGCCATGTGAAAATGTGCTTTAAAATTCCCCTTAGCCAAGCCTATCTCCGTTAATATGCGTTTTGAACCTTTCTAAGTCAATCTATGACGAAAACATTTTTTCGATCAGCCAAAAATTTTCTAAGTGTCAAGCCTAGCTTTACTTGACTCCGAAATCCGGGCAACGGGCAAGCGTAGTGTAATTTATATTGAAGGACGGGCAAGCGTAGTACAATTTATATTGACTAGGACGGGCAAGGATTCATTTGCATACCGTTCAGTGCTATGATAGCCATGTGAAAATGCGCTTTAAAATTCCCCTGAGCCAAACCTATCTCCGTTAATATGCGTTTTGAACCTTTCTAAGTCGATCTATGACGAAAAATTTTTTTCGATCAGCCAAAAATTTATTTGACTCCAAAATCCGGGCAACGGGCAAGCGTAGTGTAATTTATATTGAAGGACGGGCAAGCGTAGTACAATTTATATTGGCAAGGACGGGCAAGCATACCTAATTTTAAGAATTTTTTATCACTGCACATTTTTGTGCAAAGTTTAGCCGAGAAGAAGCCACGCCCTCAAAATTTGTGGACACATTCTTTTAATGTGTAACCAAAAGACAGGCTACAATTGATATATAAAATGATCCCAAAATCAACATGCACTGCAAAGCGCCCAGGGTCCCCCAGGGAAATTTGGGGGCCCAGGGCAAAAATTGAGTTGTGGCCCCTCCTGATTCCATCTTCTAACACTATGATTAAGAGGAACTGGGGGCATTCTCCTGGGAAAATTTTGAAATCTCAGGTCCCAGAAATGGCCAAATCCTGCATTCTGGAAGTTTGTTGGTAGTTATACCTATATTTCAATGTAATTCTTTTTTGGGCCACCTTTAACTGGGGTCCAGCGTAAATTGCCCCCTCCCTCGATCTGGGCGGCCTTGACAGCACCTGCTGTTACGACTTTCTGTGACAGCGTAGTTTGATAATCATATGCTTGCAGGAACGAAAAATTTTCGTGATAAACTGTGATGTGATAAACTGTG